CTTTAAAAGCTGTATGTATGTATGTATGTATGTATGTATATTATTAAATTAAAACCATGCCTTAAAACCACAAAAGAAAATATGACATCCAACAAAGTGTAGTAAAATGATTTGATTAAACATGAGATCTGAGTAAAATAGGAATATTTTATTCCAGATCATACAACCAATTATAGGGGATCGAATTTTAATAGAGATGCCAGAAAGATAAGCGGAAGCTATCTTTGTGGAAATCCAAATCTTCTTGGGACCTAGCCATAGGCTTAAAAAGAACTATTTATCCTCGATTAACAATCACCATGAAAGAGAAATTTGTATAAAAATTAAGCGAAGTGCCACCCCTACATCACAAAAGCATGATGCTTATTACTATTGGAAAAACATCAACAAAATTTGATCTATATTTTCTTTTGTTTTGCTTTCTTCAAAATTTGTTAGATTTAGAATTTTTTTCATTCCTTTCTGAATCAGCCAAACTAGGTTGGAATAGTTAGTAAACTAAAGCTTTTGCTTTTTCGAAAGAATTTCTTAATGAGTTATCCCATGGGATTGATACGCGGTACTCTTGAACCGCAATATTACTTGGCATGTATACTTGCATTATGCGGCAAACTTGCTTTGCATTATGTTTTGACGCGTCAGAGGCTTGCGCAAAAATTACTGATTACTGAGAAGATATTTATGTAACATTTGGTGTACTCCTTTGTAAAGCTTATTCCAATACTGTTAATTGATATCATAATAGTTGAATGAGCATTCTCAGCTATAAAGATTGTAAAGAGTTGTTGTATAACTATTTTAGAGACTCTTAAGAGATTGTTATTTCAATACTAATCTTACATAAGGCATATTCAGTAGTGTAGATAATCAAACAAATGTATATGTTTTAAAATAAAAAAAATCGAAAGAAAAACAAATAACTGATACTTTTATGTGTATAGTCTCTATGAACAAATAATTAATCAATTTATTTGAATACTAAGACAACAAACTTTTAACTTTTCATCAGATGAGAAAATTATGAGCATTATTGAAATCATTAGCTTGTGCTCTCGGAAAGAAAATTACCGAGATCTAGCTTACCGCATAAAGCTCTCTCTGTCGTTTAACATACAAGAAATAAATCATTTCATTGATATAATTTGATCAGCCCCATAAGTTTAAATATTCTGAAATGTTATTGTTTAATATTATTCACTTTATTCTATTTTAATTAATGAAACTAAGGAAGAAATTTTTCTCCGTTATAATGGAACACAAATAGAAAAGTGAATTAAATCATTGTTACCAACATGATTTAATTTTGAATTTTATTCAGGAAAAATGAAATTTAGAATAAGCTTTGTGTGGTATGCAGCTTAATTTTTCCAAACAATATCATGATTATCTTCTACAATTTATAAACTCATCTCTTATGATAAACTCGGGTTTGACAAAATATTATTAAATGCTGTGAAGATTAAACTGTCTAATTTATTTTTACCAATTTCATTTGGATCGTGCTTCTAGCTTGAATGCCGGCTATTTGGCAGCCTTATTTTTGACAAATAATAATTGAAGATTTGATGGCTCGGCGCAAATTAATCGTCACTTGTGTGCCAAATGAGCTGACATTTAAAACACTAACAATTAAACAAAAGAAAGAAATTTGAAGATTTACGGCAAAATTGAATTCGTTGGTGTTTACATATCTGACACCTATTCTTCAATTTTTGCATGCATGCTATTATTCCGGTGCATGAAGAGCTGTATTTCATTTTTTTAAGAGTTAAGAGGGCGATCTTTTTTAGATATTTTTTATTTCATATCTATGATTTGTGTATAAAGATAATAGTAGGTGTTGAATGGGTAAATGTATAAGAATATATTAATATGTGCGTGAATGTTCAAAAAATAAAAATATTAAGTGGCTGGAGCTCTCTCCCTTCACAATATTTTAACGCTACTTAATTTTGACTATGGATGGGATGGATAGAGCCTAGCTTACTATAAATTTCTGTCCAATTTATCTAAATCTCATTCGTATATCAACTTTCCTTTACTATCTGTTGTTATTGAGATCAATAATGGAACTCTTCGAGCAACTTGTCCTCATCATAACTATACTGGCTTTTCTCTACATGGATCATGGTGCAATGGCCTACGGTATATGAACTATTATTGATATACAGAAGTTAGCATATTTATTTATTTGAGCATTTTATTTTATTTTCATATTTTATGTCATAATGATGCCATAAATTGCAGAGCATGAGGAGTTTAGCTATACAGTGGGGGCATGGAATGGTCCGAATCATTGGGGAGATATCCGTAAGGACTGGGAGACATGTAAAATTGGGCACTCACAATCACCAGTACTAATAGATGATAAGAAGATCGAGATTGTATATCAACCTGAGGATCTTAAATGGAGTTATCATCCTGAAAAAGCTGTGATGAAGAATCTTGGTCACAACATCGTGGTATATTAAAAAAGCTTTCCTCTGTTATTTAAAAAAAATTGAAGACGTTTAGGTATGAAAAATTTTCATTGAGATAATATTATGGGATGTTTATGGCATGACAGATCGAATGGGAAGATGCAGTGGGTGCTGTAAGGATCAATAAAACAGAATATCCACTAAAACAAGTGCACTGGCACACGCCTTCAGAGAACATAATTAATGGAAAACAGTAAGTGTTATAAACAAATTTTTAAATTGTATATCTCATTAAAAATAAAGAATATAGTTGCAAAATGCCTTCTTTAATAATTTTAAAACGGTATGATATTAAAGATTTATGCTAGAAGCTAATCTTTTTCTCTAACACCTAGAATAGTTATCCATGCAACCAGTTCATGTATTGACCCATTATGAACATTTTTTTAGATCCAACAAGTTAAAAATCTTCATGTCATATTTTTATTTTATGTAGTATATCATCAATACTCTCTTTTATATTCA